CATGGCTTCCTTGATTGAATCCATCCATCTGGAATGCAGTCTTCTTCTTTTCCTATTGCCCTCCACTCTTCCAAGCATTATAATCTTTTCTTTCTTCTCATGATATGGCCAAAATAAGACAACCTCAGTTTAGTCATCTTTGCTTCCATGGAGAGTTCAGGCCTGATCTGCTCTAAGACTCATCCATTGGTATTTTTAGAAGCCCACGGTATTCTCACAACTCTTCTCCAGGACCATATTTCACAAGTTGATTTTCTCCCTATCAGTTTTCTTCACTGTCCAGCTCTCACAACCATATATAGAAATGGAAATATGATGACATGCATAATTCTGTCTTCAACAATATCTCAAGTGCTTCATGAGTCCCACAAGTCTAGACATCCTCACTGAGGTTTCTATCCCTGGACTATGGGATAAAATGGGTGGGATACCACAGCTTTGCAACTCACACAATGAGAAACTATATGGCCTGTGGGTTCCCCACCTTGGAAAGAAATATTGTTTGTTGTTGGTTGCCTTCAAGTCATTTCCTATTTGTGGCTACCCTAAAGAAACCTATCAGGGGGTTTCCTTGGCAAGTTGAATTTTGCATATTCATTGGTAAAGTTGCCTCAATTGTTCTCAGAGGGGCAGGGTACAAATAAATTTTATTATTATTATTATTATTACTATTAAGTTTCTTCAGAAGGGGTTTGCTATTGTCATCCTCTGATGTTGAGAGAGTATGACTTGCCCAAGGACACCCAGTGGGTTTTCATAGCCAAGCCAGGATTTGAATCCTGGTCTCCAGAATCCTAGATCACTGCTCAAACCACTACACCATGCTGGCTTGCCAAAGAAATATTATCTCTACCTTTTAAAACCACATCTGGGATCTCACAAGTCTTGATCACCTAGCTGAGATTTTTCTCGAACGAACCTGCCACTGTGTAGCTCTCAGGAGTATTATACTCTTCAGAACCTCACAAGATACAGCAGAGCACAGCACAGAACTGAGCTGGTGGAGGACAGCGGCAATACTGTATTTTTGGTCTCTCATATCTGATGTTAGGCACCTAGATCATAGGGACATAAATAAATGGAGGGAGGATGTTTAGGCCTTTAAATATGGCTCAAGGTACCTACAAGGCAGCCCATGTTAACTTGGAGGTATTATTTATGGTCTGGAATGTGCTTGAATAAGCATCAACAGTTGCTCCAGCAATAGTTCAATAGCATGTTTTAAAGGAGCATATTGCAAACAGATCAGAGTAAAAACACCTTCCCCGCTCCCTTCTTTCTTACCACCTTAAAGGTATGCAGCTGAACTACCTCACAGTGACAAGTGTAAATGAGGACTAGGGGAAAGTCACACAACTTGTTCTGATTTATGAAAAGCAGTTGGCCTTGTGAATGTCAGGCTGGCTTATGGCAGCATAGTTGCTGCTCCTGCTGCTCTTTTTCCCCTCTGGTTTGCCCCTCATGCCACGCCAAGGAATAGGCAGCCCATGGTTATTACAAACTTTCATCCAGAGTTAGGGATTATGCACTGCCTTTATCATAGATCACCACTGCTACTATAATTTCTCATGCCTGTCAGTCTGTATCTGTCTGTCGGTCTTTCTTAAGCTATTTCATAGCCTGCTCTGTATCAAAAAGATATCAGAGTGGCTTACTAGTAAAATTAAAACATATAAGTTAAAACTGTCTGCAACAATAAAAAATAATTAAAATATACTAAGAGGCAGAGTGGTGTCATGATTTGAACATTGGACTAGCATTGGGAAACCAGGTTGAGCATTGGGAAACCAGGTTTCAAATCCCTGCTCAGCCATGGAAACCCACTGGATGATCCTGGGCAATTCATACTCCCTCAGCCTCAGCGGGAGGCAAAGGCAACACCTTCCGAACAAATCTTGCCAAGAAAACCCCATGATAAGTCCTCCTTAGGGTCGCTATAGGTTGGAAATGACTTGAAGGCACACAAGAACAAGAAGAGGAAATTTCATGAGGTGCTGCTTGTCACAAAAGTAGGAAATTAGCAAAAAAAAAAAAATGCTGAAATCCCCTCTTCTACACAACTATGAAAGGTACAGGAGCCATTTCCAGTGTTCACTCTGGCAACCCTAAGTACCTGAAGATACTCTAGATGTAGAATTATATATTGTAGGGGACAAAGAAAAGGTAGATGAAGGAGTAACCCCTGTTTCAACTGGTAGGTCACCATGTTGGATCTTTTGTGGAAATTGGGAATAATTTTCAGCAATATTGGCCCTCATGTTCTGATGTCAGTCACACATGAAACACACCAGGTGGCTTCTTTGGATCGTATTTTCAAAAGGCGCTGGGAAGCTTTCCTAATGAAATTACAACTATCATGGGGTAGAAGTTGAGCAAACAACAACTTCTTCTTCTTCTTCTGAACAAATATAAAACAAAATGCAATGTTTGGGAACATAACTCTTTTGGATGACAACTGCCACAATGCCACAGCCAGAGAGCTGTAGTCCCACGCCAATTTTTTCATCCTAAAGCTCTGGTGAATTATATACTCTGGAACCTGCTTTCAGTGCTGATGTGTGAAAGGATTTCCTGTACAAATTCCCCAGTGGAAAAATGTCCTGTTTTCAATATCTAAAATCTTTAGACCAAAACCCATGTTTAGTTCAGCAAAAATGGCTATTTTCGATAGATTGGAAAGAAAGTATATTTAGAAAGAAGTTATTAAATGTTGTTGATATAGTACAGCTAAGGCTTCCATGTGATAAATAATATAGGTATATTTAGTGGTTGGATAATTACAACATATTTTAGATTAGAAACATCTTTGGCATCTCTAGACCTATATCTACATGAGACAGCATGGTGTAGTGACTTGGGCATTAGAATATGACTCTGGGGACCAGAGTCTGAAGTTTCTCAGCCATGGAAGCCCACTGGGTGAGCTTGGGCAACTCACATTCTCAGCATCAGAGGTGGGTAAAAGCAAACCCCTTCTGAACATAGCTTGCCAAGAAAACTCTGTGATAGGGTTGCCTTAGAATTGTCATAAGTTGGAAATGACTTGAAGGTACACAACAACAACAACAACATATTATATGATGTGGAACTTAAATGATAGCCAACATGGTTGGCTCCTTTGTGTTCCACTACGACTACAGTTCCATTTACAGTTTGACTGCTGTTCCACTTAGATCCAAGGTTGAAAAGGGTCACTGTCTCTCTTTCCATAATGTTTTACTTTGCTGTTTTAACTATACATGAGCATTATTTTGCAGATGACAGCATCAAGAAAATGTATGGTTGGAAATATGGTTAGCTTATATTAATGGGGTGGTGAGCTCCTGTCGCTAGTCCCAGCTTCTGCCAACCTAGCAGTTCAAAAGCATACAAAGGCAAGTAGATAAATAGGTCCCACTTCAGTGGGAAGGTAACAGTGTTCTGTGCATTCATGCTGGCCACATGATCACAGAGTAGTCTCTGGCAACGTTGGTTCTTTGGCTTATTAATGGAGACAAGCACTGTCCCCTGCGGTCGGACATGACTTGGCAACCTTGTCAATGGGGAATACCTTTACCTTACCTATATTAATGTATATGCTTAACCCACATTGATAGCCTAATCCCCCACTACTTTTTAACTATCTTTCCATCCACCTCACCAGCTGTTTTTACCCTCCAAGCATTTTGGTATATAATTTCCACCAACTCCAGCCAGCAGTCATGCTCCCTGGGGATTATGAGAGATGTAGCTGGAAATGTATAGCTGGAAATGTACAGAGGACACTGGGAAAGGCAGCCACTAAACTAAAGATCCTTTCACACTACACAATTGTATTGCTATGATTCCACTTTACCTACCATGGCAACATCCTGTGGGATCCTGGGGTCTGTAGGCTGGTGAGGTACTACAGCTGTCTAGAAGAGAATTTTAGATAGCCCTCCCTAAATTGCAAATGTAGAGCATACACTGTTCAAATCTGATGTAATGGTTTGAATGTTGGACTAGGACTCTAAGAGTCCAGGGTTCGAATCCCTGCTCAGTCATGGAAACCCACCATGAGAGCTTGGATAAGTCACATTCTCTCAGCATCAGAGGAAGGCAATGGCAAACCTCCTCTGAACAAATCCTGCCAATAAAGCCCCATGGAAGGGTTGCCTTAGAGCCACCATAAGTCAGAAACAACTTGAAGGCACACAACAGCAACAACAACAACAACAACTGTAAATCCCAGGATTCCATAGGATGGAACCATGACTATTAAAATACAATCATAAGGCTATAATTGTGTAGTGTGAACAGGCCCTAAGTGACTTGCCCAGCTAACAAATTGGGACTTCTGATAGTTTCAGCTTTAGGTCCAGTTTGATCTATAAATAAAATTACGAGGCAGGGAGAGATTTACAGTGTATTCAATAATTTGAAAACTGAGCTCCTCTCTGTCTCATCTAGCCCCCAACTCTAACACTGTGAAGTTGCCATGATATTTATTTAAGGCATGGAAGTGAAGTAACAAAAGGACTAACCTCAAACCGAATTTGTACAGTACAGATGGCTCTGTTTGGTATACAGTGTGTTACAAAAACAGAACAGACAACTGTTACTCCACTAGCAGAAACAATGAGTCAGCCCTGCCAAGGTTATTATGCAAGGTGGTAAAAACAACTGGCTATAGATCCAGATGTAAACAGAAAGCTTGTTACATCACAGACAGAAGAGGAAATATATATGCTCTGTTACTCATCACTGTAAACATTTTGTAAATATTTGATTATATGTCTGTATGGGGACTTATGCAAGCTATTTAAACACAGCAGTATTTAATTGATGAAAATAGAAGAGATCAAACTGTAATCATATTCTGTGATCCACATTGTTGACCCATAAGCCTTGTTCTCTCCCATGTAAGAACAAATGCCAGGTGAACAGCAAAGTAAATAGGAAGCAACTTTACTCCTATCCTGGCAATGAAAGATACAAAAATTTCTAAACAATATGAACAGTTATTGAACTTTTTACTATGTAAGTCAGGGGTCCCCGGACTTTTTGATCCGGGAGCTGGTTCGCTGGCTCCCAGATCTTCCGGGGGGCTGGAGGCGCGTGTGCATGCACATGTGCACGACTCTGGGCGCCATTTTGTGTTCCAAAATGGCGTCCGGAGTCAAGTGCATGCCCGCGGCATTGCACGTGCATGCGCATGACTCCAGGCGCCATTTTGGAACACAAAATGGCGCCTGAATAGTGCGCATGTGCGTGCGACAACGGGCGCCATTTTGTGTTCCAAAATGGCACTTGGAGTCGTGTGCATGCGTGTGCAACACTGCACACATGCGCACGACACCGGATGCCATTTTGGAACACAAAATGGCATCCGGTGGCGGGTGTGAGTAGTGGTGGCGGCAGCAGCAGGACCGCCGCAGGCTGGTAGGAAGGCCTCGGCGGGCTGAGTCCAACCCGCGGGCCGTAGTTTGGGGACCCCTGATGCAAGTAATAAGCAACTACTAAGGAAGGGCAAAGAGGAAAGTGCAAAGGCAGGCTTACTGTTGAAGAAAACTAAAGTAATGACCACAGAGGATCTTCACAAGTTCAACCTAGACAACGAGGACATAGAAATAGTAAAAGAGTTCCTATACCTTGGATAAACATTGATCAGAATAGGGACAGCAGTCAAGCACTAAGAAGAAGACTAGGAATGGGGAGGGCAGCTATGAAAAAACTACCATAGAAAAGCTTCTAAAGAACAAAGATATACAACTTAGCACAAAAGTTAGAATCATACAAAAATTGTATTCCCCATGAACATGTATGCATGCGAGACCTGAACAGTTAAGAAAATGGACAAAAAGAGAATAAATTTATTTGAGATGTGGTGCTGGAGAAGAGTGCTGAGGATACCGTGGACAGCAAAAAGAACAAATAAATGAGTCCTTGAACAGATCAAGCCTGAAATTTCCCTGGAGGCAAAGATGACTAAACTGAGGCTGTCCTACTTTGGCCACATCATGAGAAGACATGAATCCTTAGAAAAGACAATAAAAGATCTCTACAGACTGGCCCAAAGGGCTGGCCTGGAGGCAGAGATGGGAAGGGGCAGCCGCATGCAAGCCGCCCCAATTCCATGGCGAGGACGTCCTGATACCGTGCGGCATTATGCATGGCGCGCGGCATTAGGACGTCCTTCTGGCGCAGCGTTTTGACACGCTGCGCCGGAAGGGGCGCTGAAGAGCTGCGCGCTGGCTCTTAGGGTGGCCTTTTGCCGCCTGTACAAAGCGCAGCATTTTGCCACTCTTTTCCGGGCAGCAAAAGGGAGGATCGGGGCTGTGCGGTGCGTCAGCCTTGGCCCCAATCTGCTGCATCCCGGGGCAGCTCTCCGCCACCACTTTGGGCTCATCTGCAAAGGCCCAAAGTTAGGAAAGGTGGAGGGAAGTAGAAAGAGAGGAAGACCACATGCCAAATGGATGGACGTAATTAAGGAGGTCACAGGGATGAATCTGCAAGAGCTTAGAAGAATAGGAGAGGACAGGGAGTCTTGCAGGGTCTCATCCACAGGGTTGCCATGAGTCAAGATTGACTTGAGGGTGGTTAACAACAACAACAACAACAACAACAACAAGGTAGGGCAAAGCACTTCTGTTTTCTGTTTCATGTGCCAAAGTAACATGGCTGACTTGGGGTACTATGCACATTGATTTGGAATGGAGGGAATGTTATTTCATTTGCTTTTCTGCCTCAGACATCCAAATTCCCTGGGGCAGTTGTTTCTTTCTTCTTATACAGTGACCATCCATTGAGCTTCGGACAAATCATTATGAGGCGAAACCAATAATTTTATATAAGACACTTGTCTCATACAACAGTGTACGTAGTCTTTTCTTGGTCTACCTTCATCTGAAGCACAACAAAAATGCTTTTGAAAAGTCTGTGACACTGGTTTTGTGCATGTGGGGATTTGTTCTCATCCGTGCTGCTGCCAGGCATATTGCTGAGATCAACTGGGTTAAGTCTACCATCCAGAAGAGAAATGAGGAAGCAGACTGAAAGTGTCATGAAGGCTAGTGATGTGTAGTTTTTTGTGGGTTTTCCGGGCTAGTGATGTGTGTGCATGTGCCTTCAAGTCATCTGTTGAGTATGACAGCGCCATTAATTTCATAGGGTTTATGAAAGACTCAGAGGTGATTTTTGTCCAGTTCCCTCCTCAGAAATGTAGCCTGCAGAACCTAATATTTGTTATGGGTCTCCCTTCCATGTACCAACTAGGGCTGACCCTGCTTAGATTCCAAGATCAGATGGGATCTGGTGCCTTGATGTACTTTGTTATTGCACTTTTTTTAACTGCTAGGGATTATGCTTGTGAGAATTCTGCCTCATGTGCCAAAATAGTATGCCTATTGTTTTTGGGGGTAGCGGTGGAATATTTACTGCTTTGATTCAGCAAATTGTTTTGGGTTCGTGTTTTATCTCATGAAACAGATGAGAACATACCCTCCAATTGTCCTGATCTGGCAGGGACAGTCTCGAGTAATCCTCTGTCAACCCACTTTTTAAGCTCTTTACAACATGTCCCTTTCTCTGTCCTCTTCCCTCTTTCTCTCTTAACTCAGAATGGGGGAGAGGAAGGGGCTGAATATTGCCCTTTCTGTTAGGCTTAGGCAGAAGCAAACTGCTGCAGCCTCTCCTAACTTGTGTGTTCTTCCACACTAATAACTTTTGCCATCTTGAGCACACTCAAATGTTGTTTGGCCAAATGTGTCCCAGTTTTGTTCTGTGAAATGTTTGCGGGTATGTGTGAACATATCTATTTCTGTTTGAAGCAATTTGCCCTCTTTTTTTTTTGGAAAGCAAGAGTTTTAAACAACAGTTTTAAATAGTATAAAAATCATATCTCGATGTATCTACTGTATTTACAGTACTTGAAATATATCATAGATTGAACCTTTTTAGTTTCCTTTACAACTGAACTGGTTTATTCTTTTGAAAAGGTGTACCTCCCACCCCTATCAAAGGTCTGTCCAGCACCAGAGTATTTATTATAAACATTAATTCTTATACGTTGCCCATCTTGAGAAATAACTCAGACCTTAAACCCCACATCTGTAAAGATGCAGGAGTAGCTGTGCTGGCCATTTAGCAAATTCAAATAAAAATCCACCAAACAGTGATACCTTTGTTGGCCAACTAAAATGCACAATATACTTGTTGCAAGCTTTCGAAGCTCCACTGGCTTCTTCATCAGGAAAGATGTTACAAACATCTTGACTAACATCTCCAATTGTTTTCTCCTGTTTGGTTTGTAACATCTTGCCTGATGAAGAAGCCAATGGAGCTTTGAAAGCTCGCAACAAGTATGTTGTGCATTTTGGTTGGCCAATAAAGGTACCCACATTTGTAAAGTTTAGAAGCCCACAAATTCAGAATTGGTTGGGATCAATAATGCATCTTTTGGAACTAGGGCAGGGGGGATCCAGAACAATTTATTGGACAGAAAGAAAACCCTTCAGTAAAACTCCTGAGGATTAACTTAATTTTTTTTTTTGTTTTGCACTGATATGTTGAAAATGCTCAACATTTCAGTAGGTTTTAAAATATTTATTCATAGCCTTTTCCTTGAATTTGTTGCAGACGTCTAGCCAAAAAGTAAAAATAAGTTTTTCATAATAAATTCCAGCCTGCAAACTCCTATAGCATGTGAAACTCATTAAGAGGTTCCTCTCCACCTTCCCCTCCCTCCCCATTTTCATGCACTTTCAATGCCATCTAGCAATTCTGTGGAAGATGTAAGAAACAAAATAGAAACTGAGTATTTCTGTCTTTCAGGCTCTTTTGTTGTGTTTGTGTACACATCAGAAGGAAAGTAACTTTACCTGAAAGCAAAAGCGCCCAGGCCAGCAACCAGTGGAGTACTTTGGCACAGTGCTTCAGCTAGAATTAGTGGATCCCCACTCCTTCCCACATACTCTATTTTTCCTTAAAGGAAAAAACAGCTTTTAAGGACAGGGAAATCTTCTGGATCAGGAGCCTTTTCAGACTACATGATTGTAGTGACAAA